ATTGGTCCTTGCGAGTAATTTGGAGAAAGGCTGCTGGGCTTTCTTAGGCAGACTTATGCTCTCTGCTGGTGGGAGCAGTAGGCCTATCAGATGTAAAGCATTTGCAACTCAAATTATGTGGTATTTGAAGCTGGTATCTCTGAAAATCCAGACAGTTGTCTCATATTTTCATCACTAGTTTGTTTGCTTGGGGAATATTGTCCTTTCTGATAGCAAAGCAGGGCTTTCAGGTACTCCTGGTGTGCCACATACTGCTGTTGTTTGTATGAGGTGATGGTAAGGGCTGTGTGTGGTGTGGCTTTAGGTTTCTCATACTTCCTTTGGATGATGGTAGCAATGGGGAAATGTATTTGATTTGGTACTTAAATCCTAGCCCTGCTGCCAGGTTGTAATAGCATGTGTTTCAGCAATAACTTTTAATTATTCAAACACAGCCATTTTCTGAAAGTGTCCTGTCAGTCTGTCTGGCTTCTCCCTGTGGGATGAATTCATCACTGTGCTAGACTATTTGTCAAACTCAGTTGTCATTTCCTGCCGTTTCACTATTCCTTGTTTATCACAATGGGAGTCATTGTTTTCCTCATTTCCCCCAAGTTACAGGATGACTTTGTACCAATGCATCCTCCTTTCTACCTTCCATCTTTGTAGAGGATTGAATTGGCACTATCTGCATTTGTACTTGTGCTTCATAAAACAGCTGCTGCTGTTCACAATCTTTTCTGCCATTTTCCTTTCAAAGCAGCCTCTTTCCAGTTGTTCTGGAAAACTTGTGTATTTTATTTAGTTTAGAGGATAGACAAATAATTAAGTTGACAAATTTGGATTTTTTTTTTTTCTTCCACATACAAGAAAAGACAACTTTGACATCGGAGAAGCTTGAAAAGCTTTGGCTGCCCCATCCCTGGATGTATCCAAGGCCAGGTTGGATGGGGCTTGGAGCATCCTGGGTTAGTGGAAGATGTCCCTGCCCATGGCAGGGAATTGATGATCTTTAAGGTCTCTTCCCACCTGAATCATCTTATGCTTCCAAAATCCATACATCTACCTTCAGTAGTCAAAGTCAGACTTTTTCAGGAGCACTTCTGCCCATTTCTTGATTGTATGAAATCCAGTATTTATTGAGAACTTGATGCTGATGTTCACAAGCTCTGAGGTATTAGGAGCAGTCCCACTCAATTGATAGAATTTCCTTGGAAAACCTGATGTGAACATGAACCTCAAAGCCTTAATTAATGACAGTCCTGAATCTCTCTTTTCTCCAGCACTGCATTTTTCACTGAATTATTCTGTAAGCTGCTTCTTTAGTTTTTACATCTAAGCTCTGTGAAAAACAAAGTTAAATGTGCAGAAGTATGAATTCTGATATGTCACAGCTACAGCTGGTAGCACTTCCATGGTTTAACAGTATGCTGCAGTTTTTATTTGTAAAGTCTGTTGCTGGGCTGTAATACCTCAGCTTTTTTCAATTACATTGGGTTAAAACTTTGTCCTAAACATGCCAGTCCAGATGTGCATTGTGTGTGTAATAGGATGGGGTAGCCTGTTTACACAGATGTATTTTAGTTTATTTGTACTATGAGTTGGATGTGGCTTTATATTTTCAAGTGTAACAGTACTAAAGATCCATCTGAGGAAAAATGTGTATAGTTGGAACCTATTTGATGGAACTTTCATTATGGGAGTAGTGCAGGTGAGAGTGGAGGAAATACCTCTTCAGTATGCACTCACCCTTACGTGATTCCCCTCAATATGCACTTGCTTTTCTAGCCTTCAAAACATTTTAATTAATGTGGTTTCAGCTAAGTATTTTTATAAAAGAAGCTAAATAATTAAATAAATTATTTAATTTCCTTGTCTATTTTTTTTCCATTTCAAAAATTGTGGATTACCTTTAGTTTTGGGAAATGAAAAACACGTCTTTTATAGACCTGGTAACAGAAGGTTTGGAAGGCCTTCAGAGCTCATGGAAGTGTGTGAAAATTGAAGGTGTTTTCCTTTTTCTCATCTACATCCAGGTAAATATATGTGTATACCTAAAGCTTTTTTCTTCTCTTTTCTGAAATCAGTAGTAAAAATGTGTTTGTAGGAGTGGCATGGCTACTGGGATAGCAGCCTGCGTTTGGCATGCCTAGGATTTGGTTTGCCCTCCATTTGAGTGACAAAATTTGTAGTAATGACATATATAGCTAAACTTATCTATTTAATCAAACAGATTTCTTTATTGGGAGTGAGATTAGGTTTTTCTCCTCTGCCTTCAGTTCCACAGTGATTCCACAGTTGAAGGTTATTTACAGATGGAACCTTTTATTTCGTTTGTCTCCTGAGGCCCTTCTGGCCATTTGACTTGTGATAGAATAGTGAGTGATACATAGTGATGCATGAATGGAATTTTGGTGTTGACACATACAAACCTGAAACCTACATCTATTCTAAGAGTTCTTGTTCTATTAGAAATGGGGTAAGTTGAACAGTGGGAAGGATGTTATTCTCATGGATGATGTGCAGCATGTGGTGCAGAGCTGCCTTGCTGTGCTGGACAGATAGCACACCACAGCGTTCACCCGCCGGCTCCGCTGCCACCACACGCTGTTACGATACTGCAGTTTCACTTATGCCAGAATTTGGGTTTTTGACATGTATTTGCTCAGTTAAATTCAGGATGTGAGAGTCAGGTTCTGCGTGTACTCCCGGGAGCGTGCCAAAGACCTCTTCCTTCCTTTGAGAGGTTAAACAAATATGGTTGTCTAACGATAACCACATGCCTGGAGTTGTTCAGGCTTATGGGAAGGGAAGGAGAAGAGTTGGTGTGAAGCCCTGCTGTTTGTCACAGAGCTCCTGCTCTTGTGAGAGGGTAAGGGACAGCACTTCAGTCATTTGTGTATGGTTCAGAAGGGCAAAAAAAGTAGTTATTCAATCCTAGACACTGTCCTGGGTGTGCTTCTGTAGTGTGGCAGTGACAGTCTATGGCGAACTGAGAACAATTTATGTTATGTGACTTCTTGGTCTTTTTACACAGTGCCTTCAGAGGCACTGATAAGGAAAGCATCACACCCTTTTGAAGTGGTAGATAAGACATACACTTAACTGATAAGGAACCAGTCAGAAGATGCAGTGATTTGTTAGGGGCCACAAAACCACACCTGTGTTAAGAATAAATCTTAGGAGCTCTCGTCTCAGTTGCATGGTTTAATTACAACAGCACTCCCTCCTAAATAGTGAGATGATACACTGTCATTTTGTTCTGGTGCATGTTTGTGTCATATTGCAAAGTGGTTTTTGATCTAAAAAGAAAAAAAAGGAAAATACATCTTGGACAAAGCCCCTCAGAATATCATCAGAAACACTTAAAACCTGCTGAAGTTGTTTTTTTGGTGGTTTTTTTTTGTTATTGTGAAATATATTGGCATGGAAATAAAGCCAATAAACAAAGCGAGTGCTGCTATTGCAAGCTGTAGAAATGGCAAACTGACTTAAAAAATAATGAAACTTGTAAATTAGAAATGTTAAGTTCTTTTTATCTCTCTTGTTCCTACACCAGTAGAAATCTGGCTGAGGTGTTTTTCATATTTTTACATGCAAAATGATGCATAAATTTGCGCAAGCGTACAAAATCCAGATACAGGTCCTGTGGTGACTGATGGCTCTTCTGTAAACACACAGCTCTTAATGGATGCATGTAGTATCCTTCTCTGTGTTTGTAGAACACGAAAAAGTAGTTGTAGGATAAATGATTAATTCACTTCAGACATAACACTTTTCATGCTTCATCTACGGTGAGGTTGATGTATTTTGCTTTACAATCTGGCTGCATCCTAAATGCCCTTACAAATCTCTGAAATGGGCATCTCAACAAGTCTGACTTTTCTGGAAGGACCAGCAATATCTCAGTGCATCTTAATCAAGCCAGTGGTCTGGAAAAAAACTGCACCACCAACTTCCTTGGCTTAAGGGAACGGTATTAATTAGCTACACGTGAATGCAGGAATAGAAGATTCTTAACAATGAATACAAATATTCCCCATCCCTGGAAGGGTCCAAGGCCAGGTTGGACAGGGCTTGGAGCAACCTGGTCTAGTGGCAGGTGCCAGGTCAGGGGTTGGAATGAGATGATCTTTACAGTCACTTTCCACGCAAACCATTTCATGGTTCTAGGAAGTATCTCTTGTTTACTAAATTGTCTCTTGGCTTCATGGTCAAAAACAATTTTGCAAAGCAGCTTCAGCATATCTGATTAGATGGAAGTATGTCCTTTACTTTTGGACATTACAACAGTCTGTAGTTTCACTTCTGGAATTTCACATACGACTGTATGCACCATGTGTTTTCTGTTGTATTGAGAATAAATTCTTTTGCCATGGAAAATATTTCCTGCTTACTTTAACTGATAGAATGAAATCTTGCTGAATCTGTACTGATGAGGGTCTGTCTCTAATTCATAGAAATTATTTCTAGTTTAGGGTAGAATATTGTCTCCCATTTTGTGATTGCATTTATGTACTTGATGCAGAATTTGTGTGTGCTGATGAGATATATCTGGATTCGTACGTATTGATCTTTTTGGGTCCTAAGTGAAGTAAAATTAGTCTGACTTTTACCTTTCAAGGAGCATATTTGCCCACTTGATAAAACCCCCATGAAATTTAGTTCTCTCTCCTGGAGGAGACAAGGGGTGGAATAGCAATGGGAGTAAAAAAATCTGAGTTTGGGGGTCTAGACTGAAACAGGGGCCTTGGTTTATTCCTTTTTGAAAGAGATGGACAATGTTTTAGGCTGAGGTTTTGAAGGGTAGAATCTCCTAAAGATGACTGAGTTGTATGGGCAGTGCCTGCTGATATTTATAGCTGGTTTTAGCTGTAGCTTTTCACTTCAAAAAATCAGATTCTTAGTGCAAATTGATGACAGATCACCAGAGTGAGAGGAGATGTACTTGCACATCCTCACTTGAGAATGTGGCCCAGACTGCTCCATGGAAACAAAAGAGAGAAGCAGATGCGCTGCTAGTTTTTGCTTTAAAATCTATTCTGCATGCCTGAAATGGAAATGTGCTCATTTGGTTTCTCATTTATTTGTCTCTAGATAATTTTTCCCTGTGGAATGCAAAGCTTCCATGCCCTTTGCCCTGAAAGCCAGTGCCCTGCAGAAGACAAAGGCTGGTACCTGTCTGTCACCCCCTCGCTGTCACTGCTGCTGCACCATCTACCTCGAGGATGCCTTGACCTTGTTTAGCAGCTTTGGCTGTTTAAGATGCCAGTCCCAATGTCAGGAATCCCTCTGGTGCAGGAGGCCTCCCATTCTAAATTTATTCTCCTGGTTTATGGTCCTATCTCTGTGGCTGCAGCAGGAGGCCCCATTTGTGACTCGGGTTACCCTTTGTGCACAGAGCTCCTCACAGGACCTGCTGCCAAGGTCCTGGCAGACTGGCTGCCACCATGTGCTCTTTTGTTGCTGCTAGGTAAGGTCAAATTCAAATAAAATGCTGTAATTCCAATTTGGTCAAAAGGCTGTCCTTGGAACATTGTAATTTTGATATCCCAAGATGCTGATTGTGCCTCGAACTGAAGTATTCCTCAGAGAACAGCACTGCTTTTATTCTGAAGCAAAGTTGGTTTATTTTGCATTTGATTAGCAACCTTTATAACATCCTGTTAGCCAGCAATAATTATGGCTTTAGTTGAATGCCAAGAAACAATAGTTATGGATAGACTTTGAGGGCTTTTCTTGTGCCTGTATATAAAAAAAGTGTAAAAGGGACATACACAGCAGGGCAAATGTTATTTTGTCACTTACACTGGGAAAAAACTGGGAAACACATTAGTTAACATGAAAAGAAATTCAGATAAGTGGTTTTTGCCCTGCCTAGGGCAGCTGAACAGTATGACTGGTGTGTACATGTGTGTGTAGATTTTGGGATGTTCACAAAAGCCAGCCTTAGCACCACTGACTTCTTGAGGCCATTCCAATCACCTAAAGTGTCATTTCTGTTCCATATTGTTCCTAAAGGAACCTCACTCTCTCTACCCCCTCAACCTTTTTTTTCTTCACAAGAAATTTAACTCACTTGGGCCTTTTCAAAGTATTTTTTAAAAGAAAACGTTTTTTCTGTGCAAAGCTGTATTGATGGAAAGCTGATCAGAAGTTTCCTCTAATGCCTCATTATTTAATCTGTGACCTTATTTCGTCCTTCAAGTGGCTCTTGTTTCCTTAGAGTACAAGCATATTATGTAGCAGAAAGTTAATAGCTTTGTTCAGTGAGGAGAAAACATGACTCTGCTGTTAAGTTGCACTGGCTGCACCATGGAAGGAGGGAGCTTTGTAAGCAGCACCTCATGAAAGGTATTTATTAGCATGGCAAATATTTTTCTTTGTGCTAAACTCAAGTCTTACATGCTGCTTTTTTGTAAAGGATTAATTTACTAGTAAATTTGCTTTTGTGAATTACCAAAATTTTGAATAATAATCTTTAATTTCTCTCCTGACATAAGTTCTTTGCTTGATGGTATTTAAGTTCTGCCTGGGATTTTATAATGTTACTCTACTTGCCAGTGTTGCAATCACTTCCATTTTGTCACATACAAACATGCTATGAAACCCATTTTCAGAGTATCTTCTCTTCAGTGTTCTGAGTATGCAGCTTTGCTGCCAAGCCTCAGGATGGAAGTTGGTTGCCTGCAAAGGGCAGGAAAACAGTGTTTAAAGGATTTTAAACATTTTAATTTTCTTTTCCTTTTGCTGAGGACTCAGATACTGATCACTGCTGGAGGGAGAGTGGTAGGACCATGGGTGAATGGTCTGACCTGGTACTACAAATCCTGTGGTCCTACTTTTATGTGGAAATGTATAATTTTCAATATGGTACCTGTATGATTCATAGTTTGTTAACCTTAGTATAAACAGGTCTTGCACTGGTCCTTTAAAGACTCTTACTTGTCTCAGCCATTTACTTTACTATCAATGCAGTTATTTCATGTTTAACTTACCAAGGGAGCTGCTGTGTGAGACCAAACCATCATTAAAAAGGGAGGATTCAGAACTAAGGTATCAACTACAGCTGTGTGGTAGATTTGAGCCTCACTTTGGGGCTTACAAGAGTTGCAGGTGTAGCTTGTTGATTGAAGGCTCCTTAAAGAGAAGCTGCTTCATTCCTGTGATAGAAGAGTGTCTGGACACCGTTTGGGTTGCTAACACATTTCCTGTCATGGTCTTTTTCTGGGGTTGGTGATGAGCCACCATGCAGTCTGGTTTGTTATATCAGAAGGAGGTTATTGCTTCTTCAGGAACTCCAAGTTGGACTTTGCATTTAGGTAATAAGCATCAGATCTATATAATTTTTTTTTGCATGCAGTTAACAAATACCCTCCAGCATTGAGTCACATGGATTCCAAGTTATATTGCATAAACCATAATGTTACTATTTTGGAAAGTCTTGTGTAGGTAAATATTTTATGTTATTTCATTGTTATGAAAGTGTCCAACTGATGTTAATCACAAAAAAGAGAAGGAAAAATTAATGACAAACAACAGATCAAACAACAGATTGACCCAAAAAGGGGCAGTCTTCCAAGAAATAATGGAAGCTTTGGAATTCTTTTCCTGTTATATTTTTGGACAGTGCTAAACTCAGGCTGTTTTGAAGAATTTCTTTTGCTCTTTCAGCTTTAAAACAATTTTACTTACATCTAGAAAAATTTGAGACTGTGCTTGAGACTGTTGAATTCAAAGGAGACAAGTGTGATTTGATGCTGTCATGGTTCTGCTTTGTAAAATTTCATGTGAAGAGGTAAATAACATACAGACAGGTTTTTACCAGCCTTACTGTTTTAGACTAGGATTATACAAAAGGCTCTAATGAGATCATTAAGGCCCCAGCCACACCAAGCAGCTGCTGGGGAAACTAAGGTTTTTAAGACTTAGGTTTCTTATTTAATAGAAAAAGTAAAAATCTCTTGTGTTTTATTTAATCGCAGGTCAACTTTACTTCATTGATACAATAGCAGGAGATCCAGAGGTTCTGCAAGCAGATGCTGAAACATACTATGAAAAACTCTTGGAGAAGTCATTGTCCACTCCTGATGTTTTTTCCATCCCTGGAGGAGGAGAGGTAGTAGGCTGATGTTTCTCATGCTGCAAGTTAGATACTTGCATATTAGTTTATTAGTTGTGTTTATGATCTTCTAATAGGGGTAAACTGGTGTGGCTGGATTGTACATCTCTTAAATCAGCAAATCCTGCATGATTTCATATAATTTGCCTGCTATAAATGAGAGATAAGGTTAAACTCCAAGTCTAAAACCCTCTGAGTGTGGAAGAGGGTTTGAAGTACTTTGGTGAACTTTGCATCTTGACCTACCTCCTTACAGGACTGAATCAAAACCAAATTTTATAGAGATTTAATACCATGGTGCTACTCTGTATTCTGCCTCTACTGTGCAGTTTACACAGGCACTGTGATACAGTCTTTTGTTTTCCATTCTTTCCAATACCTATATTGGTAATTCTGAGAGTGGCTTCTCCCAAAGGAATTCTGTTCCTAAGACACCTGGGTGGACTAGAGATGACTGAACAGACCTATTAATTTTTTTTACTGCACTCAACCTATGAAATCTTTAATTCTGGCATTTTGTAGATCATAGAAGATGTGCTGAGGTACCTGTTATTGTACTATCAAAGCAGAAATTGGATTAGTTAAAATGAATGTTTTGAATACAGTAGCTTTTCTACAATTTAAGAAAATAATATGCAGTAGTTTCCAGAAAAATGCTTTTCCAGGTGGGATCAGCATCGGCTTTGAGCTGGGAATGCAACAGGGTTTAAATACTCTTTTAATGCCCTCTAGTGGAGACTGTAGGGCTAAATAGCAACAGACTGAACATGCAAAGATCCCTCAGTTTAGGGCTTCTGTGTCCTTACCTTCCATGTCTGCTTGTACTTTCAGAGGTTCATTTGCTGCTCCTGTAGAAGGGAGGGGAGGTTAAAATCCCACGCAGTGCTCTGTGTATTCTGCAATAGCCACACACGCTGAGATCAGTAGTAAAAAGTGGACTTCTGGCTTTTGATTCACAACTGTCTTGATTTTGTGGCTTGTCACCAGCCCTTAAATATATCACGTGACTGATCTGAGTCTCATAGCAACACATTTCTCTTTGCATTCATTTAATTCAGGTCTAATCTAATCTGCAGTCAGCCAGTCAAGGGCATAAGTAATGGTATTGTTCTTGCTGCTTTGTCTTTTTCTTTATAGTCTATAATAAATAGCTCAAAGAATGTTGATGTTTTGCAATTTAAAATCATTTAAATGTAATAAGGCAAAACTACCATTCCCAGTGGACATCCCAGCTAACAATCTCTATTATAGACCCACAACCTGAAGGATGAGAGGTTTGATGTTTAAATAATGACTGCATTACCAAGCATTTTTCCCCCTTCTGCATCTGAATTAAAACAGGTTTCAAGTGGCAGGACTGGCAACAGTGCATAATTACTTAGCAGGAGTTAAGTGGCTGTCAGCCCACTTGCTGGGGTCACAGAACTTCTTTTTGGTATGGCTTGGTCAAGCATCCAGGACACAAATAGCAAGGATTACTGTGAGTGAGGATGGGAGCCTGTTGGCAGCGGCCACACACAAAGCTATGCTTGGCTCTCGCTGCTCTTGTTAACTGCTGTGAAAGTGCACATTACCTTATCAAACAAAATAACAATCATGGCAGAATTGGAAGTAGTCCTGGCCTTTTCATTATGGAAATGCTCCCAGGTGCCATAGTGACATCGATGCTGTTATGTTTGAAGCATGCAAAGAACAACTGAATCCCCAGATTTAGGCAAGCTCATGAATACAGATTTCAAGCAGTTTTAAATTTTTTTTTTTCCTGAAGTCCAGTATTTGCCTAGATGCTTCCAGGATTCTGGCACTCATCAACTAGTGAGCACTGGTTTCAGCTTAGAGTTTTTATCCTGAATAATCCATATTCATATTTCTTCCATGTACCAAGAAATATTAAATGTAACACGTGACTGATTTGAGTTTCATAGCAAACTGACAAATGGGTGCAATTAGAGAGAGAGGCACACCCACACATACACAATGGACCAGATTTTGGAAAGTACAGTACATACTGTGCTAAGTCATGCACGCTCTTTGCCTGTACCTAAACTTACATGACAGCATTTGCAATATTCATATGGAAATCGTCATTTCTATGCATATAGAGCTGTTTGAGCGCAGTAATTTTGTGTTTATGTGTCACATCATTTAGAAGTTTAGTCTAAGAGCAAAAGCTTGAGAGCTGCATTTTGATTTTAGCTTTGCCTTCAACTTAACCACCTTGTGCCAATTATCTACCCTCGCTGTGCCTGGAAGATAAACTGCCCAGGCACTGCCCTAATGCTTTGATACTCCCTGTACCCTGAGGCTTAATTCATTGTTTGCAAAACACCACAAGTACTCAGCTGGAGGATGCTGTAAGAAGTGCAAGTTGTATTTGTTTTCATTTGATGTGTCTGGTCTTTCATAACACCATTTGTCTGCGTGTGACAATGTTCAAAGCCAGGTTATGTACTAACCAGGGCAAGTCAGCATGAAGGTCTTCACTAATTTCAGTAGCTTGATTTATTTTAAATTAGCTTTCCTTATGGATAACATTAGACTATTATGTGTATTTCAGTGCCTTGAAGTTGAGGATTGTGAGGTTGTTGTGCTAAGCTTGTGCCATGTGTGTCAGCAAAGCATGTCAATAAAACATGTCATAAGTGTATCTGATACATGAAGTACTTTTTTTTTGGTGAGCTTTGCAGTGCAAAGTGCTACAGGGCTTGTTTGTTTTTTAGGTTAAACTTGAAGATTCCTGTGTGTGTTTTGTCCCTCTCTACCGAAATAATCCTACTTGCAAACTGTTGCTGTTAACTGATCCAAAGGATAAAGAGACAGGTTAGAATTGGTCAAAATATTTTGAAACTTGGGTTGCTGTAATTTCTTTAAGATGGTCTGTTTGTGTATTTAAGTATTCCGGGTTTTGTTTTGAATTTGAAGTGGTTTCAGTTTATCTGTCAAGGATTTGTATCAGTGGACTGCTGACTAGATGGAAGAATTGACAGTTGGGGCTTTTAAATTCTATGCATAAATTCTCTGCTGGTACCTGAAAAATCACCTTGGGTAAATCTGTTATTCTTTCTGACTTTATTCAACAGGATAATATTTTTCTAATTCAGAATGATGTGAAATTTAACACATTATGGTTTGGATAGAATCCTGAAAGGCTTAAACAATAAAATACAGGTATGAAATTGTATTGCTTCTTACTGATTATTATTCATATTCTCTTTTTACTTCATGATATTTTTTTCAGTCCTAGGTTTATTTGCCTTTTATTTCCAGTACTGGTATGTGAGGGCTATCTACTGGTGTGTAGATTAAATGAGGAGTGTTGGTATTGTGAAGCAATAGGCTGTAGAATGTTTGGAATATCTGCAACGAGGACATGAACTTTTGCATTGACTCACTGTCACTTAGGAAATACAGAACACATGAAACCTCTGAAACTTCCAGCTTCCAGATGTGCCAGCTAATGACATCTGTCATTAAAAGTGTACTTTTAAAAAAAGGATAAGCTATAAATTATGCCTGAAAAGCTTCAATAGCCAATATTCTTAATAATAAAGCAAAGGCAAAGCAAAATTCCCTGTTCAGTTCTAAGTGTGGCAGGTAACGATCTTGCACTCCTAGAACAGGTTCTCCTAGTGTAAGTATTCATTGTTCAGTCCTATTCTGTAACCAGGAGATTTCTTCAGAAGAACAAAAGGTAGATTAAAATCACCTGTGGTTAGAGGTGAACTCTGCAGTTTTCCAGCTCCTTCTACACAGGATTTCAGCTGGACCTTTGCTAATGGGCTGTGATTCAGAGGAGAAGATAGGAGACCTTTCCAAGTGTAGTCAAAAGACTTTCTGGTCCCTCTGAAGCTATTGATGTAGAATTACTCTTCTGACACTAATTTATATATTCCATTAATGTTTTTCTGAAGAGAGGTATGCACTGGTGTGATAAAGGGGAGAAGCATCTACACCAGAGGCAAGACTTGCTCTTGGTGCAGTTGTGCTCTCCTGACTCATGTTCAAAGGAATGTAGCTGGAAACAGCGCTGAGTTTAGGCTGCACAAGAGGAATTTGGATCTGTAATTACAATGCAGAAATAAAGAATTATTAAATAGATGCAGGTGAAAGTGCATTTAGCACAGCTCTTCAGTTAAATGATCTCATAGTATTAGGAACAAGAAGTATTAATGAGATACAAGCACACAAGAAAAAATGATTTCTCACAGGAACAGGTCAAACAAGTCCAATTGGAGCCTAAATTACCTGATAGCTATCTTCATTAAATGTTTAAACCTAGCAGAATAAACACCTTATTATATTACAAACAACAGCCTAACTGACTGCTGTGACCCTCCCTTGCAAAATTTCAGCTTAAGTTACCAGTCCAGAGTCAGAGGAACAGAGAGATCTCTAAGCCTGGTTATTTAAATAAGGCCTACATCATGTAGTTTTGGATATTTCCTTCCAAAAGTGTGATTTAAAGGATTTTCTGGAAGTTCTTTATTTCTTAGTTTTATATACTATAAACATGTGGCCGGTCTTCCTGCATACATCAGATTTGACTGATGTGATTTTTTTTTCTTTAGATGAGTTTTAATAAATTTTCATTAGTTCTTTAAAGCCTGCTGGGATGTATGTACATACCTATTGGGTATATACATTTGAAATATTTTGTCCTAAGATTTTTCCAACATCTCAGCAGATTTGGAATTGACTCTCAGGGTGGCAGACTGTGCTAATGGGCCAACTCCACCTGGATTTTCTCACCTACATGACCTTTTGTTCTGACCAGTGAACAGATCAAATTAATTCAAAACCAACTCCTTCAGAGAAAGGCAATATATTTTAACTTAGTCTTTGTTATTTTAAGGACATTAAATGATAACATTTTAACAGGTTACATAATTTTCTTTTCCTGGCTTGAGATTTGCACTTTTCTTGTGAAACAAGTGTCCTCCAGATGGAAGAGGGAAACAATCTTGCTGTAGTTCATCTCTTCCTCCACCTGTCTGCTGCATCTGCATTTTAGTTCTCTTCCACACAGCAGGAGCACTCTTAGAAGCAAATTTCCTGGTTGGCCCCACATACTGTGTTTCAGTTTGATGGCATTTAATTCTTGAAAATTGGTTTAAACAGGGGTGGATTCTACCACTGAGATTTATTTCTGATCATCTTGATAAGATGGGTTGTCCAGAAGTGATGTGTAGCTTGTGGTTTGAAATGATCTGCATATTTCAAAGAGAAAATGGGTATGGCAGCTTTTCTGTAGGACTTGGTCTTGGTTGGAAGCATTTTTAATTTAGTTTTGATGGGCTGAGTGTTGTGTTCTGTTAGTATATCTGTACAGATATTTTTTATGAGAATGTAAATTGCATTGTAAAGGCTTACAGAGCATAACATGGGTGATTAACATCTTTATAACACTAAATAAACATACCTTATTGTGGCATTTTCTGTATGCTGCATCTAATAATTCACAGTAACTGTGAGATGCCTTGGAACATTTATCACAAGACATTTGCAACAAATCACAGAGTGAAGCTTGAATTGTAGAAGAAAATGTGACTGGTTGCAGGAAAGATCAATGAATGGCTGCCATTCCAGCAGGAATCTACCTGCCTCCCAAGCTTTAATGTATTTGTTTTGATAAAATTCATAGAAAAGAGTGGAAAATGCTCTTATTCCATTATAAAGACGGGGAACCAGCTAGCTCAGCTTTATCTCAGATATTTATTAAACAAACTCTAATTACATCTCTCATATGTGTCATCACCTTTATTTAATTTGTAACTGAGGGATGTGTTTCAGCAATTCAGATAAGCCAGGGGAAAAAGATGGGCCAAGCTGGATGTTGCTTTATTTTTTCTTCTTTGCTCTGTGTGTAGAATCCTGATGTGCACATTTCATTTAAATAGTTGCACACCAATGTGGGAACATTTGGCCACCATAGCCTAGCAAGTAAAAATATAATCCAGGCCTGAATTGGGAAGAGATCCATGTTTGCCCAGCAAAAGTAGACATTTCATAATCACAATTGCATTATGCTAATTCAGCTCAGTCCTGGATTGCAAACACCCTGTGCTGTGGAGTCCTGTGCTCCGCTGCCTGTCAGCTTCTTGGAACTAGGTGTTTGTCTGAGTGCAGGTGATGAAAGTACTCAGGTTGATCAAGCTGGTGCTTACAGGGAAAGCCACCCACCTGAGCATGTGTAAACCCCATTAATTGTGACCTGAAATGCATTTCACCTGGTCTTGCAACTGCAAGATCCAGCACATCAGGGCCTGCAGTGGCAAGGTCACTGTACTCACACACATCATGATTCACAGGGTTCAGGTGATGTGTGTTGGCAATAACTCCATCTCTCATGATCAGGTGAACTTAACTGAATGTTTTGGAAAGAACAAGAAGACTTGAAGAGAGAGGGAACATGTGGTCTCACAAATCATGTTTGCATTTGAAACAGTGTTCCTCAAAGTTGATTATAAAATGGAAATGAGAGTATGGGGAAGCATGGATGGATTTAACTGTGGACCAGATGTTGACTTGAAAAATGATAACAAAAAGCAAAGTACATATGTTTGTGTGTGTGAAATTTGGAGAAATGTTTTTCCTTCAAGGAAGGCATCCATATAGATAAGGTTGCTCAAGTAATGTGATGTGACAGTTGCTATGTCAACTAGTGTTCCCTTCCACACATTTAAATTATTGAATAGCACAGTAAATGTTCTATAAAAGCATCTCCTTCCAACATGGTCATACATCTTCCTGTTTTCCTCAAAGCTTTGAAAAACTTTTTTGACCTTTACTATGTGTCTTGTATGTCTGAACTGTGTGCCAAACCTCTTTGCAGCTCTTATTAAAGTCAGCATTTGGCCTATTATGTCCCCTTTGTGCGACTCAGCTCCCTTTGTAGCTGCATGTTTCATGGATGTGTAATGGAGCAGTGGCTGCTGCATTTGAAAGCAGAGGGAAGGGTTTGAGGGAACAGATTGAATCCATCACAGAAACTGAGTATGAAAATCCCATGCAAGTAAGTGCATAATATTTAATGAATTGAGTCTGGTGCTATAAACAGGCATCTGCCCTTGCGTGCAATACTTCTTCCTTGTTAACCCAGCACACAAAGTGTAATGCTTTCTGGCACATGCTTTAATAATTCATTGGAAATATAAGTTAGCTAAGCCCAATCCCCAGCCTTAAAGCTAGCAGGAGTGATAGAGTCTGAAGCAAAAAGGGAAATTAACCTGTGTGCATCAGTGACATTTGTATAACCTGAGGCTAAAACAGGTAAATGATGAATCCTGTCCTTAAAGTAATTTAATTTCCTTGTGTGTGAATTTGTCTCTAACTCACAGATGGTTTTGAACTTTCTATTTGTCTGTAGCTGGCTAGGTTAGAGCCAGTTGTTCAAGCAGTTTTAGGACTCAGGACATGTGAACTCTGTGCTGTTCTTTGCAACATTCTCCCTATATTATATTCTACCTTTCTATATAAAAATGGACATGGTAGGTGCCCTATTTAGAGATATTAAAGATACTAGTGCTCTTGAGCAATCCTGAAATTGTGGCCATGTACTTTAGGTGAATGTCACCAGTGCACAGATACTAAAAGTGCTTTTTGCTGAAATATTTGCTGTTTGATGTGTCTGTGGTCATAAATGATCAGATTTCTGTGTTTATTCCAAAACCTCATCTAAACACTTAAAATTTATTCTCTATCCTTTGAAATGACCCCATGTCAAAACTTTTCTTTCTGAACAAGGCTTAGAAGTAATTTCAGTGTCACTGTTGCTTCTTCAAGTCTTTTCCTTATAAATCTATTGGCAGGCAATGAATTCTGTAGATGAACATGTAGGAGTAGGGTTTAAATACTTGTTCCTGCAAATGTGAAAAATTGAGGAAGGCTGGGAAGAAGTGGGGTGCAAGTTTTGCATCACACCTACATGAGGACTTGACTTGCGTGGGTTGCTGATACACTTTTGCTTCAGGGCAAAGTGTACCTTATTATGTGTGTCTATGTCTGTCTTTTGTTGATAGAAACCTTTCTGTGTGCATTTAAACCTCTGAGAATATCTGGCCATGCATCGATTTAGGAGTTTGTACTCGAAAGGTACCCATAGATAGAAATTTAATCATAGAGAGAGCTGAAAAGCTGTTTGATAAAGCAGATACGAGAATTTTTGTGTTTGACTTGCATGAGTGCAAATATGTGCACTCAGATATATTCAAATATGTGTGTGTGGGCTGGAGAAAGTTTGAAAGAAACTTGAAAACTGTAACCTTTATCCAGGTAGCTCCTCTGTCCCAAATGCCACTCAAACCTAATGTGCTACAGAACTTACTATTAAGCAGGAAGTGCTTTATTCATATGGAGCACAGGCTTTTACACCAAAGTCACATCAGCTCCTGAGAAAAATTACCTTCCCTTGATGCCTCATGCAGTACTGAAAATTGGATATCAAGGGACGCAGAGGTGAAATTGAAATACACTTGTTGTTCTGGTGTCACAGCAGAACAGACTGGAGTCAGCTGGAGGGAGAAGTAGATCTGAGGTTGCCTGTGGAAAAATTCAGCATGCACTTTGTATTTGTGGGTAACGTGTTCCCATGTTTTTGTTTTTGTAGTTTTGGCAATTTATTTGAGCCAGCGTTGGTGGCCTGTGGAAGATGTTGTGAAGACGGCTGATCCTGCTAGAGATGGGCTTGTTTTGGTGAGGATGCTATTTTGATCAGTTGACTTTAGCCTGAAGCTTCACAGCCAGAACAGTCATAGGGAATTGTCTCTGGTCTCCTACAGCTCCTGCTCTGAACCTGTGGGATCTGGGCTCTGTGGCTCACCAAGTGCTTCATGTCTCCTGGACAAAGTGACATGCACATTAGACCTCTCTAAACAATTCTGTGCATGCAGTTTATGATTCATCTGTGGGATTTATTTTCTTTTGGATTTTAGTTTACCCTCCCTGCTGATTATGAGCTTTGTGTTGCCATGAGGTTATTAAGTCAGTTTTGTTTCCTACTCAACCCTCAGTATCTTTGGTCCTTAATGATTCTATTCCTTTATCATCTTTTCCTGTCACACATAGAGTTTAATTATTTGCAGAATTAAGTAGGTTTTTTATGGGTAACTGAACTGGAGGGATTTTGAGATAACAAACAATCCTTGCAAAATAGAACTTGGAGCAGGAACACAGGCCTTGAAGCTTTCAAGCCACAGGCCTTGAAGCTTTCAAGCATCTCTTTATCAACAGAGAATGAAAATAATGTCTGAAAATAGAAATCTTACCCCCTTTAGCTCATTGTGAAAAGGTAAATTGCTGTTATTTGTGGAAGCTCTCATTTCTTTTTCAGCATTTGTGTGAAGCTTGTTGGCGTCAGTTTTTACCTTGATGGTCAATATAATCTTGTTCTTTTATATTCCTCCATCTCCCTCTCCTGTCAGTTGTCTCCTATATAGTATAATTGTTTATGTAACACCTAGATTATAGCTGGTTAGGACAGACTATTCTCTGTTTTGTATAGTGTCTATCTCAGTAAGGTCTTGGCCCACTAAATTCTTCAATGCTGTGGCAACACAGGTAATGGGGAGAGGTGAGCAGGCCCACAGAGTGAATCCAATCTTTCACTTTTGAGTAGGATTAGATTGCCTTGATCCTGGTTCCAAATCTCTGACTAGTTCACTGTGACAGCAATCAAGATACTTCTGCTGCTTTAGAATTCCTCTCTCTGACAACAAGAGATATGTCAAGCTTTATAAATAGTTACTAAATTATTCTGTGCCCACTGGATAGAGGGCGAAACACTAGGAAAAACTGTTTTTGTTATTCTAGCTGAACCAACTCAGGAGGCATTTTCCCCAAATTAAGTGTACATGGTTCCTGACCTCTTCCTTCCCAGCCTCTTTTGATTTTGAAACCTTTCATGAGATGCAAAATACTATTCTCTGCCTCATTTTTCTTTGGTCTGTTTTTGTTTTTCTCTAAGGTCCAGACATTTGGAGAGAGGATTGTCCTCTTTGTTCTGAACTGCATTATTTTTGGAATGCTGGAAGGGAGTTCAGCTAATGATGCATTCTTTCTACCTCACTCTGCCACCGAGCGTGCCAAGATACTCTGGAGAAGCGGCGAGGCTGCTGCCTTTTACTCGGTCAAGATGAAAGGTAAGGTCATTTTAGAGACACAATTCCACTGTTCCTAATAGCTAGAAATGTAATCCTTTTGTTTATCTATAAGTATAAATAATCCTGGCTCTCATTTACATTTTTATATGAAATCTCCCTCAGAATTAATCTAGGGAACAAACCTTCCTGGAATTTGGAAGCCATCCATGTTACTTTCATTTAAACATGATAGTTCCAAACCCTATTCTGATCTGAGGTACTGGCTTACTCCAATAAAATGTGTTTTAATGCAGCCAAGTAGGAGATTGTACATCTAGGAACAAAGAATGTAGGGCCTATGCACAGGATAGGAGGACTGCATCCTGGAAAGAATGATACCTGAAAAAGGAGTGCAGTTCCCAGTGGGAAAATTTATTGGGAGTTGGTGGTGGCAAGAAGAGGATCCTTGGATGTGTTGTGTAGAGGAAGGTGTGTGCACTAGATCAGTCCTGGAATGCTTTGTGCAGTAGTACTCCCAGTTTAAAGGATGATGATGAATTGATTTCATCATTAATTGATTAAGTGGCATAGAAAAGAAACAAAATGTGTTTTAATTCTTTAGGGATACTTGATTAGCTTTAGTAAAGATCTTTTATTAAACACAAAGTCTGTATTAATGCAAATAATTGCTGTTAACTAGTCTGGAGTGGAAGAGGCTTAACTGGAATAATTCCAGGTATGCAGTAGAGTCTGTGCCCCATGCAGGAGCTGGTTCCTAGTCTGTTTTTAAGATTCATGGGAATCACCTTCACAGAGAAAGTGGGATCTTTGGAAGTAAAATACTGTCCAAGTCAGGACTCAGTAGCCATCCATCCAGAATGGGAGAAAAAGAAGCAGCTGGAGAGATCTGTTGTTTTGGATTCAAGAGGACACTCTGAAGGTGCCTTCTCTGCTGCAGTCCCAAAGGCCAGCAACAATAAGATGTTCTTCTCTTTGGGATGGAAAAATCCTGATACACACAGAGGTGTAGCTTGTACAGACCATCAGTGAGGAATCAGGACTCAGCCTATGATCAAGGAGCCTTATCTGTATCTTTGATTATGTTGATGAACTGGTTTGTAATGGCAAACACAAGTACATTTTCCTTTAAGTCTGTAAATATTCCTGAGCAAAGCTTTTGGAAAGAAACACTTGTAGGGGCTGTAGTGATTCATGCTTCAGTAAAATAAATGTGCACAGTAGTCTGTTATGGGTGGAGTATTAGCCAAGTTGAAACTGTTTCTGAGTAAGTTGAGAGTCACAGTTTGGTTTTAAACCAGGTCCACATAAAATACAAATCCTTCAAGTCCAGCTTTGTCAGCATCAGCCTTTTCTTGCCAGTTTTTTTTTCTCTGGGCAGCTATATTTGTTAGTTTTTGGCCTGTGTCACAAATTACTGCAGTCTTTTGCCAAAGCCTTTTCGGGAAGCTTGAAACTGATTGTTTTTGCTGCTTTTTGCTATTTGATGTACGCATTTAGAAAATAATTCCTCTTTCTGAAGTTCTGTGATCTCAATTTCATACCAGCCATGCTGTGGCTGATTCTATTCTCTCTACTTTTTAGAAGAGCCCTGGATTTATTAGGCCCAAAACAGACTAAGATAAATATCTTCACTTAGAAGCTGTATTTCACATGGTTGTTTTACATATTTTCATTATTTATTTTTCTAAATATTAGTGTTAGGTCTTTTTCCTTTTGCTGTCCTGGTCAGAACATTTAGTAGAGGAAGCTTTAACTACAGGAGTTAATATTATGTTGGACCTCTGTTACAGCTTCTGGTCCTAGGAAAAAAAATTTCCTTTGTGCCCAGCATGTGATTCTGATTCCCTTTATTTCCATGCTCTGCAATTACCTGACCATTCTTTCCAGTTTGATTTTCTTCACTGAGTAATTGAGATTCTCATATTGATGTTGTATTCAACTGTACTTCTCATCTATGAATTTTCCATTATCTACAGCGTGACAAAAAGTATGCTTCAGTGGAGGCAGATAGGCCAGAAAAGGTCTGTGGAGCATGGCTTTTTCAAACATAAGTCTTCTGGGTGAATCACAGAAGTGGTGACCAAGGAACAGAGAGTCTGTTCTATCTTTGCAAATTTAAGTGTCGTTATGAAAACTAAATTTTCAATGCACTTCAATGCTTCCGATTAACTATATTGGCAATATTGTAATTAATTTCCATTTTCCAGTTCCTAGGTGGCCTTCACAAAGTGAACTTGGTAATTTTGGTCCAGTTCCATGCTTCCATCCATCTTATGACCATCCTTAACTGGATCTCTTTTAATAGTCCAGCTAAGGAGGCACAGATGGTCTCGAGTACCTGCCTTGCTCAGAGATGCAGTAACTACTGCAAGTCAAGGTTTTGAGACAATTTGGCCACTTCTGGCACTGGCCACCCTGCACCTGCTGTGCAGATAAACAGAAATCTCATTCTTCAATGAGAAGAGCTATCACTTTTCTTGAGCATTAGACACCTTTATTAAAGCAAAATTTATTCATGACTACACAGATCATGAACTTGGCCTCTCTGGAATGTGCCTATTCCTGTCCAATGACAGGCATGCTGCATTTACCACTGGGTATACTAGAGATTGATGAGATGTACTAAGCCACTAATGAGGCTGATAAGACACTTTGTCACGTGCCAAGATAAATGTCTCCAATTTTATCTATGTCAGCAGCTTCCATGTCAGACAGCTGAGCAGTTAGACCTCACTAAATGGAGCTACTTAAAGGTACGATAGGAAATGATGGTTCCCTCTTCCTGTACCTTTCTCTGTGGGCAGCAGCCTGAAAATGAAATATTTTGCAGAAAGCCTTCATACAAATACTTGGGCTTTTGGATCTGTTTTATATTGTTTAAAGTATTTATTTCGTGCTCTGTGTGAAAAGCTCAGAAAGAATGTGTTCTGTGTAGTGATGTAGGATTAATTACCACGGTTACAGACACTTGTTTCTTGTGCAGTGAGAGCAATTCCCTGAAAGTTTTTCCTTTCTTATTTACTGAGGACTAGTAATTACTGAAAATGGACTTTACTACCTTCACATAAATGTAGAAGATTCATGATGCAAATAAATCAATAAGAAGTTGGAGGATGCAGTGAGCCAAGAGTGTCTCGGTGCTTTGGAGAACAAACCAGAACAAAGTCCCTTTTTTATAGACTTTATTTTCCCCCCCTGTTATGTATTACCCTCTCTGTAGCACATATGAGCTGCCCAGCTGCAGACCAAGCTGTGGTATGAAAAACAAAAGAGTCAGACTGTCAAAGCTTGTCCCTTCCCTCCTGACAAATCTTAGTAGTAGAAGTGTGGAGTGATGTGAATCAAACCAGCCTTAACCCAGCCTTAACCAATATAGGTGTATCAGGAGTAAATGCATTGTTGGCTTCTTATTTATTCTTTAGAAATGCTCCACAAGTCACAGTTTGAGAGCACCTGACTGCAAAAACTCTTCAGCAGACATGGAGTAAGCAAAAATGCAACCCTGGCCTAATCTCTGCTTTTTTCCTACACCAGAGCCTTAGAGATGGTCTTTGGAAGTGGCTTCTTGAGCTCAAATTGATTTCACACTTTTCTTCATACAAGCCTTTGGAAATATCTTTTGATACTGTGGCCCAGGTGCTAGTCTGTAGAAACAGATCCTTAGAAAGGTAACAGGATTTTAGTTTTTCATCAATTATGTACATTTCTTTTAGAAAAAAAATAAATTTGGCATTGAAGTTCACCTGACAGACAATTAGCTGAAATCTTGTTGAATAATTGCTTTTGTCTCCCTCTGTTTGCTAGCAATAATATTTTTAATGTGCATTTCTGAGGCAGATTGAAGGTTCTGGCTGTAATGAAAATGAAATTACTACATACCAGTCCAGACATGAATTCATTTAATTTTATTGAAGCCAGAACCTTTGTTCTCCTTCTCACATACAAACTCACACAATGGGTTGACCTTGGGTTCTGCTCTACAGAAATATTCCCCACCCTTTACACAAGCGCTCAGGCTGCTCCAGGCCTGTCCAAACATGTGTGTGCCAAGCCAACTTGTTCAGCAGGGAAATAGTGTGCACAACCTTGTTTTGTTTGGGTCTGTTGGATGTGGGGACCAGATTGTTGTTTTTTTTCTGGTTTGTGGCTCTTTGGGAATGCTAATGGCTGTCTGCTTTCCTGCCCTTGTAATATCTGTTTGCCATTTTGCTGGCTCCTAAGTTGGTCATTTGGCACTCATGACCTAACCAAGCAGATCAAAGGCTTTCCAAGAGCAGACTGCATGAATGCTTCCCTCTCCATCACCAATGCCCTTATTTTCCCTGTCTCCTCCCTCACCTCAAAACTTTGTCTGTGTGTTCCAACAGTGAAACAAACCTCTCAACCAAATGTGTGAGAGCCCAGTGGCCACCTCCAGGCCACCATTAGCTTACGGTAACCTTGTGCTATTTGATGGGAAACAGGGACAAAGTGGCCTTTGTTCCAAAGGTTGGTTTGTTTGTTTATTTTATTTTGAATGCCTGTGGGCTGTGACTCTCCTAATGTGTTTCCCAGGGACAAGGTGAAGAATGGCTTCATGGTTTCTTTATTTATGGTGCCTGTAGACATGACAAGTTTTTGTCATCTTCTCAACACAAAATTAGGAGCTCAGGCATAAATCACTCAGCTCCTGGGATTGCTGCACAGCATTCTCATCAGGGTATATAGGAGACAGACTATATGAGATAACAATAAACTTAAGAACACTTTCAACATGCAGGAATTCTTAAAGACTTCATGAGGAAAAGTTTGTCCCCTAGAATGGATGGTGCAATTCTGCTGGAATTTGACATCTCTGTTGGGTTGGCAGCTAACAATGGGACCAGGGATATACTCAATTTTTTGGCTCATAACAAAAAGAGTAACTACCCATCATGTGTTACAAGTATTGAAAGGTTATAAACACCACCACAACCCACCCTTTTCCAACAATGTTTGAAGTTCTGTTTTTATGGTATTTTGCACTGAATGGAAGTGCAGCAATTGGACCCTAGGTTGGTAAGGGTGAACATCAAAATTTTGGATGCAGAATGTCTGTTCTTAATCAATTATCTCTTGATTCCAGTTTGAGTTTACCATTTGTGATTGCAAAATAAATCCCTTGGTTCTGTGATTTGGGTTTTTTTTTGACAATTTTCACTGAGAGCTAGTTTTAATAGTTTGGAGGCTTATGCTTGAATCTGTATTTTGTCCACATGTAGTGCATTATGTCAAGGCCCCGTGATTTCAGTTAACTGAGTTAATGTGTTTGTTAGTAAGGACTGTCCTGGAGTGAAACCCCGGGTTTAACACTGATAGTGGTAGTTCAAGTAATGGAATAGAACACCATAAATATTACATATTTATTACATATGTAATAAATCAGCACTCAGTAGAAATGGAGTAACTTAAAAGGAGCTCTTACCGTGCTTTCTTAAAGTGCACCATTCAGTTGTTTATATAAAGGAGTATACGGACATTACATTCAGAATATTTATATCTATTTGGTTTTAGACCATTTATATCTTTTCAATGAGCTTTCCTATATACGTTGCCTGTGCACCAAGATAGTGTGATTATGAAGAATCAGAGTCTGGAAAAGACTGGTGAGACCTGTCAGCCACATTTTAGGCAGGTCCTCTCCATTTCATGGCACCAAGTAATCCTCCAGGAAAGTGTTTTACTGCTTATGCAAATGCACTTCAGCTGGGAACATCCTCACAGCCTGTGGGAAGGTACAGGGCAGTGTGTGTGGCTGAAATCACACAGCAGTTAGTGCAGCAATACTGATTTTGTTTGCAAATGGATGTGTTTTTCCCTGTCTGTTTTCAGGGAGCCTGTGTGATGGTACAACCAGCCAGTGTTACCTGCTGCCAGTTTTGGATACTATATTCGTCCAGAGAAAGTACAGAAGAGGTGGCCTAGGGATGAAAATGTTGCATGATTTCTGTCAGTCTTTCCTGGCTGAGGATGCCTTGGGGATCAGCTGCCCTATTTCTGCTGCCATGTATCAAGGTAAATCCTTTGATGTGGACACGTTAGGTAAGGGTCATGTATAATGTATAATTTTCAATATGGTCTTGGTAAGATTGTCTTCACTGTATAAGAGTTCAGTGCCCTTGTCTGAACTTAACTGTTGTTAGCCTGCAACTAGTTCCTTTTCCAGAGCCATCTGGAATTTCCTGTGGAAAGGTAGGCCAATATTTATGTAAGACAACAAAAAGCACAAAAACTCACAGTGCCTGTTTGACATTTTGTGTTCCTAGAACTGTTCTCTTGTAGAACTATGTCATTGCCCTAGACAGGGACTTACACATTTTATTTGACACCACAGGGAGAAGACTTGTAAGATCTTGTCAAGCCCACACTATGCACATAATGCTCTTGTAGATCTTGCATTTTTAAGAAATTACATTTAATAAGCCAAATATCCAGGCTCTACTCAGTCATCCAGTTATATCAGTACTTGTTTTGTATCAACTGTCTTTGAACATTTGACACTTTTAAAAGATCACAAAGTAGTCATATATCTTCTCTGTCTTCAGGTCAAAACTCTGGTTTTGCTAGTAAAATTCACAAAAAAAACAAACTGTGCTCACGTTATTTATGCAACTGTCCTCTTCAGAAAAGTACTTTTTTCTGGGATTGCTCTCTGTGTAATGCAGTCTTCACAATAATTTTTTTTGAGATGTGTTGATTTACTTACAGCTTTCCAGTTATTTCCTAATAAATGTCAACAAAATTTTGGCCACATCTCTTCTTTCTCTTGGTTATGTCGTGTCCTTGAATGTATTCAAAAGCATCTGAGCAGGTACTGCTGCTTCTAAATTCAGGGGGGAATAATATTGACAGCATTCCTTCTCCCAATAGTATCCATTTTTTCTTTGGCAGACCTTAGGGCTTTAGAAACTCTGGATGAGAAAGCTGCATTTCTTATGTGTTAACACTAGCAATATATTGGAAGACTGTGCTTTTGTCTCAATTAAGTTTAGAGAGAATATTGAATAAATTTGACTTGCATCATGTTTTAATTAGGTTTTCTTTTATAAAAATACCAATACTGTAAGTTAAATTTTGAGTGTATTGAAGTCACTGTCTGCTTTTAATTTCATTGGAACCACATTTTCATACTTTGACAAATGAATGCAACCTTTAAATCACTGTACTGAAATCTCTGAGGCTGTGGACAGTTTATTTAACATGGACGTGGTATTTAAGCTGCTGTAGATGCCCAAAAGGGAGGAAAAAGCTTTGTAGCACATATCTGAGTTCTAGTATGTGTTAGTTTTAGGAGTTTTTATTGGAATGATTAATTTAGTCTGGATATCATATAAAATTAATGTCTGTGATGTGCTCATTACTGTAAGGCAAATGTTTACATACCAGAATTAGGGTTTTTGTTTTGACATCCCATTGTTAAACTCAACTGAATGTTGAAGATAAATTACCCATTCTGTAGAACGATGAACTACAGTGGACAGAGTATGACAGCGATTTTGTTGTTTACAGATCGCTATCTTAGTGCAGTTGATGCAAGTGATAGGATGGCAGTTTAGGGAAGTTAAAAAATCTCCTTTATGTTTAAATGCTTTGAACTGTTTGTTCTATAGCATGTGCCTTCTTTTGACACTGCACACATCCTAAGGATACCACTAAATAGAACATACATCAGTTTGATAACATAAGCAGACCTAAATTCGATAGTTTATCCAAATTTTTGGATGGTCAGTGTGTACTGACAGTGATAGGAATCTGTGGCAATAAGGCTTTTAAAGGTGATTGTACATCTGTCACAGGTATCCTGTAATTTTTCTGTTGTTTCTTCCCATTTCTGTTTTTTCCACAGCCAAAGAAGTAAATGAACCTAGCAATGGGGCATAGGGTAACAACAGTGAAAAGGAGGGTGGTTTTGGCCCAAAACCAAACTGAGGCAGAGTTTTTCTTTATAAACAGAGATTAAAGTAGCATTCTGAATGGTTAAAGCTGGAAGATAGAGGAACACCTTTCCTTTCAGAGTAGTGAGGGTAAGAAACCCTACACTGCTGTAAGTCTGAAACTACTGAGTGTCTGGACATTGTTCTGTGCTGCCTTGCCAGAAGGTGCTCAGCAAATCACTTCAAGTCTTTTATTTCTGCACTCACAAGGAAATAAACTGGACTGAAGCAGACAGGACTCACTTGTGACTGTTTAGGCCATTCCACATAGGCTTTTACTAAAAGTCCCAGCTAAAACAAAGAGGAGGAAGATGAGAAGGGAGAAGAAAGCTTTCCAAAGGAAGTAATGAAAGAAGGTCTGAGAGAATTTCTTTGCATAGAACACGCTCCCTCTTCTGATGTACTTTTCACTCACTCATACTTTTACCCCTTGGTTTCTCCTTTCAGTATGCCAGAAATTCCTGCAAGCTCATCCTGAGGAGCAGAAGCGACTGTGGGAAGTGGAAGCACCAGGAGATTGGAGCCAACGAGTGAATATCTGGTTAAAAATTCAGATGGAGTCATCCCCTTCAGGAAGTGAGTTAAAACAAACAGTGTGAACTTGTCTGTGTTATAGTTCTATAAAGATAAGAAATGTAATCAAAGGTTAGGTAGTGATCATGGAGAGGTGATGTCTCTGTTGTTTGCACATGGAGAAACTACTGAGTGTGCAATCCAGTGCCCTCATCTTTTCACAGTAAACAGGACAATTCTTAGAAATTATGAGGTAATGAAATGGAACTGCAGAGCATCTGAGAGATCCTGAACAAAGCACAGCCTTGGCATAAAGTGGCTGCACTTAGAGCAGGGTAGAAGTTAGCCCAAAAAATCCCTGTTGCACAATATATTGTCTGGGTTATAGACAGGGGTTTGTTTCTCTGAAATTGTTACAAAGGAGAAATTTGTATGGCCAGTGGGCAGTGTGTTTAATTACCTTCAATTGCTGCCAATACCATTCTTGGATGGAAACACAAAGGTTTTCATTATGGGTTTTGGAAGATTCTAAATACTCTCCTACAGGGTAAGTCCTTTTTGCTGGGAGCATTTTCTGCCTGCTTCACAAAAGATAGCGACAGAGTAGGGAAGCCTTTTGACAGTTCATATGGGGATCTCATTGCTATAATCTGCTCAGCTGGTTGGAGGACCCAGACAGGCCACTCTGCTGCATGCACACAAGCTGTGATAAGCACTGGGTTCCAAAAGAAGGGCACACATTGTCTCTGGACGTGCAGCAAGGAGTGCTCCAGAGCAAATTGCTCCCTTGCCTTCCCACATCCATCCTGCTCTGTTTTGGCTCGGGAACCTTGTGTTGAGACACCGCGTTTCATCTTGTCTGCAGCACCCACAGGAGAGTTCAGTCAGACTTTAGCCCTAGGCTGGGTTCCTCTGAAGCCATTATATCTGTGTTCCTCATGCTTTAAACCAGCAAAACCTGGTGTTGCTCTTTCCTTTAATCTTGCTAAGTGAAGTTTATTAATGGCAACTGAACAGAACTGTGATCAGATCAAAACTCAGCAGATCCTGGGGGAGAGGACGCTTTCTTTTTTCTTTCTTCTTTTTGCCATCTTCTAGAAAAGCAAACAGATGAATGACCCAAAGAATGTGGAAATATCATTCCACCAGAATTGCTGTCAGTAAAAAATACACATGAGGCTGGGGAACTGCCTTGACTGCAGCCTTCCACTGCCTAAAAGGGGACAGTAAGAAAGATGGGGATAAAGATTTTAGCTGAACCTGTTGCAACAGGACAAAGGATAATGATTTTAAACTAAAAGGAGATAGATTTAGGCTAGATATAAGGAAAAAAAATTTAGTATAAGGACATTGAAGGCCTGGTACCAGCTGCCCAGAGAAGCTGTGGCAGCCCCATTCCTGGAAGTGTCCAAGGTCAGATTGGACAGGACTTGGAGCAGCTTGGTCCTGTAGGAGGTGTTGCTGCTTGTTGCTGGGGATTGGATTAGATGGCCTTTAAAGGTCTCTTCCAATCCAAACTATTCCATGATTCCATGATTCTATCTTTAGGGGTTCTCTGGGGATCAAGCGCTTCATTCCTACTTTCTCTGTTATGCAGAAAGCAAAACACAATGTAATTCAATATTGTCAGCTCCAATCAGGATCTATGGCAACAACTGTGAAAATAGACAAGTCTTATTCTGCTCTGATTTCTTAGATTCCTGTTGACATTTGCAATGCTGTGCAATGCTGTGTTTTGGAACAAAATTACTGAGAAGAAAAATTGAATATTTTGCTCATATTCTGGGTTTTTTTCCCACACCAGTACTCAGGATTGAATACCATTAATGTTCTTGTAAGGGTTCTACAGTCATACATATTCCATAACAGGTTTCTGTAATCCTGAGGTCAGAATTTTCAATTTTGCAAGGTGGTGTGGCTGCATCTAGTGGCAGTTCATCTGAACTGCAGCCCTCTGCTTGCTGCAGCTGATACTTCAATCTGGATGTCCACACATACATAGGCATGTATACACACACATACTCCTGTCTGCACATACACATATATTTATAAAAATCAGTCTTTTTAGCATGGTGTCACACATAGCTGCAGTCATTCATTATGAATTAGTTCTTACTGTTTGAAAAATGTAGTTTCATCAAATAGTCTCAGCAACAGGAATGTGGTGACATTTCTCTTCTGGGGCTGATTGGAGGAACAGAAATCATTTCACATGGTTTGGTCGTGGTTGCTAAATCTACCAGGCAGTGAACAGAGCTGTTTTGAAGTAGTTTAGTAATATACATAAAGCATGAAAATGTGAAGCTAATGCAAAACCAGGAAGGCTGAAAAGATGTTTTTTCCTTTTTAATCTCTTTCTGGGGCAAAATATTCCCCCAGTTTCTCCAGAGGCTGAAGTGGGCTCTTGTATGGAGAAGACTCCAACCAGTACACTCAGACAATCTGATCTGGAGCAGATGAATAAGGTACAGTAACTAATATGCCATCTTATGACCTCATTTTCCATTGGTGGCATTTTCCCTTTTCAGTGGAGAGGTTTAAATATGAGAGATATCCACAGGTGTGTTTTACTACTGACTCCTCTATCTTATGTAGGTAGTCACAGCTATATTATATATAAATATACATGCACACATATAAATGCTATTTATAGCTAATTTATATAGCTGTAATAGTTGGAGAGGATAAAGAGCGCAGAATAGTTTTCACTGAAAGCTTTAGTTTCATCCTTGTTGAGCTAAGGGAGCTGTAACCAAGCAGGTGTACAGTGAATTCCAAGATTTGCATATGGAATAGCTTTCTGAACTCAACTTGTGGTCTTTTCCGTGCAGGAGCTTGAGTGTGACTTTAGAATGAATAAGCCAAACTCTTTATGGTCCTAATTATTTTATCTCACTGCTGAGCTGCAGATCTGACTGTGTTTAGCTTTTTGTAGCACCAAGGCCTAAAACAGGCAGTGGGGTTCAAATGAAGACTAAGCCATGTGTCTGAGAAAACAAATCACAGGGATGAAGCTTTTTCAAGTAAAAAAGGAGAGATGAGTGGAAGCAAAACAGAGAGCTGCAGGGGTTGTTTCCCCAGCACATTTTGGTTGCCACACAATTAAATCAGTTTGTTTCCTTGAGCCCTGAGTGTCCCAGGGGAGCTGTGATGGCTCCAGCCCCTGTGGTGCACGCTCTTGTTGTGTGCTGTGGCCACAGCTTCAGAGCCCACCCAGCCAGATCAAGGCTCCCTGCGCTCCCAGTTTTCCTTTCACTGACACTTCTGGGAAGGCAGGCAGAGCAGCAGGAATGAAGCTGTTCTATACAGAAAATGCAGCTGAGTTTCTTGCCTTGCAAGTTTATGGAGGTTGTGGCTGACAGAGGTGTTTGATAGCGGGATCAAGTCACTGTTTATTTTGTTTGTGTATAATTTGCTGTTCCTTCTGTCTTGGCTCTAATTTCAGAGTGTTGACTGCTTTCCTGGGGTTGGGCAAGTGACAGGAGATGCCACGGAGAAAAAAGATGACACAACAGCAGCAGGGACTTTAAACTCACAAAGTCCTGAAGAGGAGGACTTGGAACAAGGGGCAGGCGATGCTCAGCAGCATAAAGGACTCAGGAAAAGAGTAGGTCCTGGGAAATTAGTTGGAGGCAAGGCTGCCAAACAATTGAAGATTACACAATAATTTCTATTTCAGAAATCAGCAGAATTCAGTGTGATCCTGAAAATTGTAATTGTTCTTAATTTGTAACAGTGGAGAAGTTTTTTGAGGTATGATGAAATTTTTTTTGCAGCACACATTCTTCATTTTATGTTTTGTTTTTAAATAAAGCTTTTGTTTACTAAGTGTCCTTTTCTTTCTCTTCTCACCAAGTAATTAAATAGTAGCTGAGCCTAGTTATTTCCCTGCTCTGAAAAGATTTTATTGAATTGCATGAGGTGTCCAAAGGGGAATAATTGGAGGGCTTGTAGGTACTGATGTGAGAAGATATTTCTATGGAAACCACATCCTGCATTATGGAAGAGAGATACCACAACACACGTTGGTATCAGAATGACAGTTGTAACCTTCCTTTCAGAGCAAACAATTGATCTTGAATTGCTTTCATTTGAGCTTTTCTAGCAGAAAAATCTGCCTTAAACCCTGTGGTGGACAGGATGGCACACAAAGGCCATTCATGCAGAAAAAGTTTGGTGCAGAGAAGAGTGAACAAGCTACGGGCATTAAACTGCTTTTCAGTTCAGGTACTGTGATAATTCTGTGTGCAAGCTCAGGGTGTAGAACTTCATGTAGATTCCATGTTACATGTTTTATTTCCTGTAGGCTCTTTCCTTATGTTTTGCATTCAATTAACTTGGAAATATCACGTACTTCACTAGATTATCATGCTGTGGCTTGGTAAAGAAATTTTGCTCTTTTACCACAGGCTGGTTCTGTGTTAGAATATTTAATTTTTATTTTTTTTTTTAGTGGGAAGTTTCAGAAGTCTGAATGTTGTGTTAATGAATTACAGGTGAAACTCGAAAGGATCAGATCTTTAGTCCAGTGGCAGAGAAGGCTTTGCAAAGAGGTGAACAGCAGGAGGATCCTGATAATCCTGAACAGATCCAGCAGCCTGTAATTCTTAAGTGGCTGCCTTGGAACAAGGAGAGGTAGTTGTTTCTTTCCAGAAACTAATCCAGCATTTCCAGGGATACAGTTCTGTGGGCAGGCATTGTAGGTCCACTGTAGAGATGTGTATTTCTTTCCTTGTACAGCACAATTGCTCACACATAGCCCCATCACCCTGTTTTTGTTTAAGGTTATGATTTAATGTAGCATTTATTCATGTATCCAAGTAACTCCTTCCCTGTTGAGCTGCTCTGTAAACCATATGCCTGAGACACAGTAAAATCAGACCTTCCTAAGCATCTCTTAAAAAAAAAAAAAAATAAAAAAGAAATGCTATAATTGGAACTTACAAGTTTTTGCCAAGAGAATTAAAACACTGGATCGTGTGCCAGTCCTAATCACGTTGCTATGGTTCTCTTGTCGCAAAGAAAGTGCATTTAGGACTATAAAGTCAGTTGATCTTAAGGTTGTTGAAAAGTCACCAAGAGTGTGCTGTGAAGACTGCTTAGAAGCTTCATGTCCTCCTGTGGAACAGCCTTTATATTCTTGTTAAAGGTATGGTTAAATACTTAAAAAAACCAAATTTGTTAAAAAAACCCAAGTTGCAATACCAGTTGCTTTGAAATATGATAGAAAATTATTATATCTCTGTTCATGAAAGCTGTTCTGGACTTGCAGTGGCCTGGCAAACTGAACTTATGTCCAGTTGTCCAGTTTGCACACTATATTATAATAGCAGAGTGAGGAAAATGGGTTGTTCCAGCAAGTGAGGAACATTTGCAGAATTTTAGTCCGAATTTAAGTCTTTCAATAAAATTTTATCTAAGAAGGCCCCAGAAAATTCTAAATGAATTTATATAAGGATAAAGGAGCAATATCAGGTACTGTCTGGAATGGGCAGAGGACTAACTAGATTGAATTAATTCTTGATCTGGAGTCACCTTTATTTACAGGATAAAACCATTAATTTTTCAAAATCCCCAAAATGGACACCTTTATTTACAGGATAAAACCATTAATTTTTCAAAATCCCCAAAATGGATTTCTGTTTTACCTATTAGCCAGTGATCCACAGCTACATTAAAAACCACTACTGGCTCTTCTCACAGAAAAATTGCTTCTTTCCTCTGTGTATGAATCTCCTTCCTTGATTTTGCTTAGGTTTTTGTTTTCTAAGTGTCTCTTTGTGTTCTAAGTATCAAAAAATCTCATGATGACAACTGAAGGAAGTAAAGGTGCATTTGCTGAGGTTATGCTGGCAGGTGCTTGGTTCTCTCTAATCAAACAAAGAGATCTTCTTCTCATCAAAACTTGTGACAATTAGAGCCAGGAATTCTGAGGTCCTACTTAACTGTACTAAACTCCAGGGCTAAAGGTTCCAGGAGGGCAGAGGCTTGTTCCATGTTATTTCAGAAATGCTGATTTAAAGAACAATTAGTCTGAATATTTATTTTGTTTCCTTTTTTTTTTTTTTATTGTTTTGTTATATTAGCTTTAAGGTACCTGATTAATGTAGAAGCTTGGATCTGCAACTCAGTTCTCAGCAGTCTGAAGCACTGCTTAATAAGAGCAGAATAATCCTAAGAGGGTCTGAAGCAGAAAAAAATCCAGTATTTTCACTGTCTTAATAGAACAGAGTAGGAAAAACCACACCCAACAGCACAAACGCTTTTTTTTTTTTTTCTCTCAGTGGAAGATCTTTTATTTAAAACAAATCTGCATTTACTTAGGGATAGGATGGTTTCAGGGTGCTGAAAAAATTGGCGAAGGCTTGAAAGAGCATTCCAGTTTTTGATGGGAACTTTTCAAAAGCTCAGATTTAATCTTCTTCTGAATCTACACTTTGGTCATGATGAGACAGTGATGGTTCTGCTCAGGAGATAATGAGGTGAGTGTGTCTGAGAGAGGGGTGGCAGATCTGCTGAGAGGGGGCTTGTGTCAGTGCTTCTTGCAAGCAGAGACACTCAAGTCTGGCCTGCAAATAAGATGTTAAACATCAAAATTAGTGTTAGCAGTCATCTGGTGGGTGTGTGCCAGCTGAAAAAGGGATTTGATTTGCTCTCAAGACAAGTAAACATATGGATTTTAAGGCTAGAAATTTCATTACGTTAATCTGTCATGTTTCACATAATGTAAGCCAGACAATTTCGTGCATGATTGCTGTGTCAAAAAATCATTGGTTTTGGTTGAAACAACCCATTTTTTAGAGGGATTGTTTTGATTTGGCAGTTTTGACTTTCAGATGTTGGGCAGTGGGAAATCTGCCATGTTTGTTGGCAAGTTGTTCTAAAGTTTTGTCTTTACAAGTGCATCCAGTTTCTTTAGTCTGAATTAATTTTGTTTCAGCCTCCTGTGATGGATTTTGGTTTTCTGTTTGACACAGAGCTGTGGCTCTGGTACTGTCAAGATGCTTTCAGATGTGGGGATGGAGACCTTGTGGTCTGTCACGACATCGGTGAACGGCACTGGGTTTTGGATCTGCCTCTGTGGGGCAACTTTTCCTGACCTTGCTGCATTCTTCTTGTCCTTTCAGATAGATTTTCAATTTTTCAAATTCCTTTTAGCAGCCAAAACATCATCAGAGCCCCCATCCTGGCCCCGGTCACGCTGAGCGATGCGGGGCTGCCGTGACCTGTGCTTGTAAATCATCACGGAATTCTCTTGTGCTTTCAGATGACCATGCCTGTAAAACTTAACCAATCTGTTTTGAGGTCTGGTTTGTGATCTCTGCGCTGTAAATGAAGCCTTTGCAGCTTCACCTGTCTCAGTACCACGAGATGGCACCATTACACAGCGCAACGCTGCGTCATCTCTCGGGTTCTGCAGACTGTGCCCGGGGTTTAAATGCATCCCGGGTTGGCTTGGCTTCCTCGGGAAGGAGGATGGGGATGTGGTAGAGCCTGTCTTGGGTTTGTTGTTCAGTCTCATTTGTCTGTGGATGTTGTCTCCAGCGGGGTCCGGGATGATTTTTTCAAGTATTTGTGAAGTCAAGGTGAGGTTGGAGTAGCACAGAATTCAAATTGCACCCAAGTTTTGCCCCTTTGTACTCTTGTCTCATCAGGAACCCTGGGTGTGACTTTCCATGTTGTATCTCATTGTTTCCCAGCAGATGACTCTGGCTCTGTTGTACAAAATTTTTAGATGTTTGGGAATAGAAATTCACGCTAAATAACCACTTTTGACTTGTATGACTTGATTCTGAGAAGTGAGCCATCCAAAAGTCTTCCAAACAGGTAGATGCCAAAGGAGAAGTGAATCAGGGATGTTCAGACTCATATTTTAGTGTCCTTTCCTATGGATGAAGAAGGGAGTGAACAGTGTAAACTTCACCTGCCTGGATACTTCTTAACATTTGCATATTAAGGAGGTTGTAGAAGAAGGGGAAAGTAAAAGTGTCCAAATTGAATTTCTGCTTTGTCAGTTTTATTGCTCAACTGCATAAACAAAGAATGCATCCAGCTGTAGTTCATTGTTTGTTACTGTCTTAGGCCTTTATGTATTTCTTGTTGCAGATGAGCATGCAATGAAATTTAAGTACATGGGAAACAAAATTAGGAGTTTGTAATTAGCCTGCTTTGCTATTTGTTTCCTCTTGCAGTCCAGCTTGATAGTGAAGTCCCAGTTTAATCTCCTCTATTTGCATTAGGCTTTATTGACTTTTTCTATTTTGAAGGTCGTTGGGTTTGGGTTTTTTTTGGCGGTGTTTTTTTAAGAAGTCTTTTTGGTTTTAATTTAAACTGAAGGCTCCATTTTTGGAAGATCAATAAACTCCATCTGGAAGAATTCTTTTCTCCCAGACACCTGACACTTAGATGAAGTTGAACTTTTTCTTTTCTTTTCGCTTTTCTTTTTTTTTTTTGCATTCTCAGGGAGGGGATCAGAGGCAGTATTCACCATGATGAGAGCATTTGGGGATGTTAGCATTCATTCACCAACACTGGATTTGTAAATTAATAGCTCAGCCTCTCTGGACTGTGGTATGTTAAAGGTCAGTGACCATGAGAGGAGAAACACTTCAGAGCTCTCTGTGCCCTCTGGTCAGCACAGTGGCCTTGGCTTAATGGCTTTAATTTCATGCTGCTTTTAAAAGATACAGATGTGCAGCATACCTTCAGTCCTCCTACCTGGAACCAGTAATCCTGTCCCAGCTTTCTGCAAGGAGCAGGGAGGGAGAACACAAA